GATATATCTTTCTTTCTAGTTTGAGGGGAGTAGACAAATAAAATAACTAAGTAAATTCTATAGAAACTTGAAAGCTTATTAGTGATATGAAGGAAAATACAGCAAAGAGGAATAGGAAATGCATAAGAGGGCAGGAGTATAATTTTAAATTTGGTGATGGGGTGAGTCTTGGAGGAAAGAGCCACAAAGTATCTAACCAAATGGGACCATGTCCCAGCTAGAGGACACTAAGAAGCCAGGGTTCTAGGACACAACAAGGAAGCCCAATCAATCAGAATGGAATGGTTGAGGGAGAGTGTGGTTCAGAAGGGAGATTAGAGAGGGCACAGGTTCGGAATTTGTGGACTTAGTAGCCTTTGTAAGAATTTTGGCTCCTGATCTAAGATGGGAAGTCCTGGCAGGGTTTTGAGAGAATAGAAACATGACCTGATGTGCATCTTAATAACAGTGGCCCAATGTGATGGTGGTACAGGGGTGGGGTAGTGTGACATGTTGGATTCTACCTTTACTTTGGAGGTAGAGCCAATAGGATTTCCTGACAAGGGGTATGAAAGAAAGAAGAGCTAGCAGTGACTTTGGGCTTTTTTTTTGGCCTAAGCTACTGGAAGATAAGATGGTCATAAACAAAAATGGAGCAAGACGTTGAGTGGAACTTTTTAGGAATAGATAAAAAATTAATTGTGGTTGTATTGAAATATCTTTTAGACTAACAAATGGAAATATCCAACAGGCAGTTATTTATCTGTGTATGTCTGAGGTTCATAGGGAGGTCCCCAAAAAATTTTTATTTGGGAACAGATAAGTAGTATTTAAAACCATGAGATTCAGATGAGTATAGATAGATAGGGAAGAAACCCAAGGACTGCTTTGAAGCACTTCAATGTTAAGATGCCCTGGAGGGCTGGGGGTGTGTTCAATGGTAGAGTTGTTGCCTAGCGTGTGCAAAGCCCTGATCCCCAGCACTGAAGAGTAAAAATGAAGAAAAAAAGAATGTTGTGTCCTTGAATTCAGATGAAGGGTTTCGAGAGGATTCGAATGGTCCAGTGTCTCAAGTACTGCTGATAAGTAAGGTGAGAACTAAGGATTCACTATAGAATTTAGCAACCTGGAGGTGAGACAAAATAATTTCAGAGATGAGGGGAAGGGGTCATGATTGGAGTAGGTTAAGAGAAGGTGGAAGGAAAGGAATTGGAAAGAGTAAATATGGCTAATCTTGAGAAATTTGGCTGTAAAGAAGAAAGAGAAATGGGGAGGAAACCAGAGGAAAAAAGACTTCAGAATAGGTTTTCTGAAAGATGGGACTACAAACAATTCAAGGGAGAGGAAGAATTGCTGAAGAAATATCTTCAAGTAGGTAAGAAAGGTGGAATTTAGTGGAGAGGTTGGCCTCAGTATCATGGGCAACTTATCATATTAAGGAAGGGGTCAGATTGTGGAGATATGTTGATAGAAGGTAGATGTGGGGTGGGCATTAGCAGAGTTCTGTTTTGTTGGTACCAGGAATTGACTCCAGGGGCACTTAACCACTGAGCCACATCTCCAGCCCTTTTTTACATTTTATTTAGAGACAGGGTCTTGATGAGTTGTTTCAGGCCTTGCTAATTTGCTGAAGCTGGCTTTGAACTCTTGATCCTTCTCCTTGGCCTCCCAAGCTGCTGGGATTACAGGCATGCACCACTGAGCCCAGTTTAGCAAAGGTTTTCTGGTTGCTTCATTCTTCTCAGAGCAGCAGCAAATGAGGTCATTGGCTGAGAGTAAGGGTGGGAAAGAAACTCACAGGTTGGAGAAGTTATAAAACAATTATTCAGAAGAAGGTTAGAAGATGAATAGATCAACATGGTAACATGTGAATTCTTGTCTCACTCAGATGGTATCTTCTTTCTGATTTTTTTTACCTCTTTTATTTTTCTAATATCCAACATAGTGCTAGCATGCAGATGCTCAATAAGTGTGCAAATTAATTTCACAAATGGAATCATTTATAACTAATCATGCATTGCACTTAGTATTCTAAACACCTCATCCATTTATTATACTTATTCTTAGTGGCTACCTGATTGGCATTTGGAACCACACTGAGATGAGATAGATCCTCAAGAGAGTGATAAGTAGGTATTGCTATCCTCAGGTGACAGGTGAAGAAACAGATTTTGTATTTGGCCTCACAACTTGCCCAAAGTTGGCCAGCCATCAGGGGATAGTGCAGAGATGTGAATCTCAGCCTGTGTGACCCTCAAGCCCAAGCTGTAACCATGGCCCTGGCACTCATCTTGCCTACCTACTTTACCTTTACCCTGGGAACTGTGGCCCAGATTGCTTTGCACATGTGTCAAAGCTGAGCCTAAAACGAAGACTTATCCAAGTGTGGGGCCTTTTCCACTACCATCTTCCAATTTCCATTATATCTTGGGATCTGTCCATAGTTCAGTTCCCACTATCACTTGCTGGCTACCCTTAACAGTAGTTGTAGTGTACAGTCCCTATAGCCATGAAGCACCTGGTCCTTTGGAGAAAGGATCTTGCCTGCACTGACACAGTCATCCAGAAGGGGGCGGTCGTATGCACAGAAATGCTCCTGCCCCACCCACGGGCTCTGTAACCCACAGGCTCTGCTTGTATCCCTCCTGTTTTCAGCCTTTCCCTGAAGCCAGCCTTTTCCTTTCAGCTTTTCCCTGCAGCGCCTGATTGCTCAAGCGAGCAGTATTTCTCCAAGAGTGATTTCCCCCAGGTGGCATTTGGCAATATCTGGAGATGTTTTGGGTTGTCATAAGTGGTGCTTAGAAACAAAGCATGCCCCTAAACATTCTGTAATGCATAGGACAGCCACCCTCCCCCAACAAAAAAGTATTTGGTCCAAAATATCAATTGGTGCATTGAGAGGTTGAAAAATCCAGCCCTAAATGAAAACTTGTAAACAGTCCATAAACTGACCCAGAGGAACAAATGGGAAATGACTTCAATATCAAACAAAGCAATTGATAAAAAAAAAAATAATAATTTGTGGGAGCTGTCCTTCTTTGGGGAATGTCAAAGATTTTGAGGGCTAAGTGGATCTTGACCTATCACTGACTGACTGTTGCCAACAATGTGCTGAGCCAGAATGTGTGTGAAGATGTGCTGTTGACCACCTGGGGCAGCTGAGAGAAGAGATGGTGCCCCTTACCATCCAAGGACTACATACTGTCCTTGTGTCTCTCTGAGGAAATGATCCTTCCTGTTGTGTGGAAACATTCTCTGTCTCCAAACCATCTGTGATGTTGAAAACCTGTTCTTGCAAAACCATAAGCTATGCTTGGAACTCAGCAGTGTGCTGGTCCCTGGCCCGAAGCACTTCAGATAGTCCCCAGAGTGGTTGTCAAGGTCCGCTAGCCTGATCAACATAAACTTGCATTCCAGTTGTGACATGCTACCCACCTCCTCTGGAATTGGGAATGTTCTTCTGAAACATGCCCATTTTGGAAAGCCTAGGCATTTACCCAGGACTTACCTGAAACAGATTGCCTCCAAGTCAAGAACCCAATGTCCAATAAAATATTCTCTGTGAATCAAGCCACTCCACTATTTCTCACTATGTAACTCTTGTTCAGCAGAACACAGAGCAGAAGCAATGAAGACCAGCCCTAGGCCATGCTCTCAGTTTTTTCTATAGTACAACTATCTTCCTCTCTTTCCTTCATGCCTAGAACCTATTATGAGTGTCTAAAACACATGAACTATAAACCTAAAGACAGTTTATGACAGGAAATATGAAACCATCTTTAAATTATATCCAACCTACAGGTGAAACCAAAGTAGTCACCCTCTTCCTTATAGTAGTTTATCTGACATGCAAAAAGGGAAGACATCTAGGAATCAAATACAGCCACAAAACTGGGATATGGATACCAGTGTCTACACAGCTAATTCAAGGGTTTTTTTTTTTTTTTTTTTTTTCTCTCTCTCAGTACTGGGGATTGAATCCAGTGGCACTCTGCCACTGAGCTATATCCAGAGCCCCTTTTTTGTTTTTATTTTGAAACCAGGTCTCACAAAGTTGCCCAGGCTGACCTTTAACTTGCAATCCTCCCACCATAGCCTCCTATGTAGCTGAGGTTACAGGTATGTGCCACAGTTCCTGCCTCAGGATCTGCTTCAGATAAGGGGAAAGAAAGCAGGGTATAGAGATCTGAAAGGCAGAGCATTATTAGTGCTTTCTTGCTGGCTTCAGTTTAATAGAGTACTGTGTGCTCCTGAAATTTAATAATAATTATTATTATCATCATTATTATTATCACTTATAGAGTGATAGTTCTGTGGACCAGACCCTACACCCAGCACTACTCAGGTAATCTATCTCCATATTCAAACTACTACCAGGAAATGGGTACTCTAGGCAAGGATACTAAAACTTCAAGAAGTCAAAAAATGTGTCCCAGACTACCAGGAAAGGGTAAAGCGGAGATTTGAACCTAGAAAGGCAGATATTTTAAATGTGCTAAATGAGTTTGCTCTTGTTAAGATCTGAACTGAATCTCTGTCAAAAAACAAAGATCCTTGTCTCTCTTATAAAGTCTTAATTTGGGTAAAGTTAGGACCCATAACATATGGCTTATGTGCTTTCATGTGCATAACACACTTGGTTTGCATCGCGAAGTGCATGGTATGAAAACCACGGGGTTTGAAGTCCAAGATGCCCTTCCACTGATCATAAGCAGTGAGACCACGGACATCCCTTGACTCTCTCAAACCTCAGTTTTCACGCCCTCAAAGTGCCGTGAGTTTTAAAGTATATGTCAAGTGTCTTGCAGATTGCCTACTGGTCAGTCGCTGAAATTATTGTTGTTGATGTTATTTAGATATGTTCTTTCTGGGTTTTGCTGTGGAGATTTCAAATTACACTGGGTGTTTCAAACTTTTCTCTGGCATCTGTGTTTCACGGATTGCCAAAGACCAAGAATGAAGAATCATCTTTACACTTAGGAAAACACTGGTGTAAAATATGTTTGTGTTTAAAACTTTAGGCACTGCCCAGGTCATCGCAGATGGCCAAGTGGAATATCAGCCTCTTTCAGGCATTCGATATATGTGGTGGTACCATTTAATCGGCCTCATCTGGACTAGCGAATTCATCCTTGCCTGCCAGCAAATGACCATAGCAGGGGCAGTGGTTACGTGCTATTTCAACAGGTAGGTCCAGCCTTGTCTCTTACTGGAGTGTCTTTGTGCTTCATGTTGTGTGTCTCAAAGATGTTTGGGAGTTTTGACCTGACTCTCTAAAAGGGGTTGACAAGAGTAAAAGGCTAAGCTAAAAACTTAGCTCAGACTTAAAACTTTGGATTTAAAAAAGCTACTAGGGGCTGGGGCCATAGCTCAGTTGGTAGGGTGTTTGCTTTGCATGCATAAGGCCCTGGGTTCAATACCCACCAAAAAAAAAAAAGCTACTAGTCTCACCAGTTGTGGTGGTACACACCTGTAATTCCAACCACTCAAAAGGCTGAGGTGAGAAGATTTCAAGTTGAAAGCCAGTCTGGACAACTTAGTGAGACCTTGTCTCAAAATAAAAATTGTAAAAGAGCTGGGTTTAATCGCAAGCATTGCCAAAAAAAGAAAATAAAAAGTTGCTAGTCTACTTTGCATATACTTTAATAACTCTGGGTTTTTTGTTTGTTTGTTTGTTTTGGGTTTGTTGTTATTGTTGTTGTTTTAGTGTAAAATTGGCAGAATATTTACCTGGAAAATAATTTTAAATCCTAAAGGAATCATGTGTAACTATAAGCTATACCTCATGTCCATATAGTTAAGTACTAGTGAATGAATTACTTGCTTCTATGTTAAAATTATAGACATTACCTCATGAAAATAATGGAAGACACACACACACACCCTACACACACCTGAACCCTTCGCCCTCTCTTGTGTGTGACTTTACCAGCAATGAGACTGCAGCCGGAAGAGCAGGCCTGGGACAATGACAGGGTTGGACTCCGAACAGGAAGTTTACTCCCGATAGGGCTGATCCTCCTCTAATCTCTCAAACCAAAAGAGGAGATAAACATGACTTTTTCCTGAGGTAAGAAAGTCAACCAGGGGTGATTCATGCCATTGACAGTTACCTCCCGACAATAAAGAGCACTGTGGGTTTTTAATATAATGGTGTTTTTGGGAGCCCCATCATTAGTGACTTTGGAGGACCCACTAAGGGGCTGTTGCTCTTGGCATTAAGACTCCCCCCAGCAGCTGGGGGTGGAGGGGCTGCTTGCTCCTGAGTAGGAGAGCAAAGCTCATCCTAGCCAAACTGGCCAATGGTAACAGTTGTCAGGCAGAGAGATCCTGTGTTATCTTAGAATAACAAAACCAAAGCATTCTCGCAGGGGCTTTGATGTGGAGCTCAGTGAGGCAGACACATTTATCTCAGAGTCATCCCCGCCTCGCCAACCCTCCCCCCAAAAATAAGATCATGAAAGAATGAAAAAGGAGTAAACACACAATCACAGTGAGAAACAGAGACTCAAGGACGGCGGATAAGCAACATGACATTAACAAAATGGCCAGGGCAGCAAGAGGTGACTGGCCATGTTGGGCAAAGCTGAAAAGGCCTCCGGCATGTGTTGGCTTTTGAGAAGGTGCAAATAAGATACAGGCTGAAGTGAGTCACAAAAAATCCAGAGAGGCTCAGGAATTTAAGTGCAAAATGTAACCCTGGAGATTAGTTGTAAGTTCTCCTGAGGAGCAGTTAGAACCCAAAGACCCTCCTCCAGATGTGCAGAAGAGATCTTTGCTTTCTGGACAGATCAACTAGAGAGGGTCTGGACTTGGGGTATCTGGCACAGCCAAGGCTGGGGGCAAACTCAGTAATGAAGGGGGGGGGGGGGGGGTAAGTGAGAGTCTAAATGCTGAAGAGGGAGAATTCCCCCACCACCAACACCCCACATTCCATAGCTCAGTTCCCTGTGTGTTGGCAGCGAGGCTGATCCCCTAAGGGGAGGCTAGGGGAGTCTTCTGGGAGAAACTTTCAAGCCCAAGGCACAGGCCCAAGATAGTACCACATGGGGGCCCCGGGTGAGATGGATTCCCTGACTCCTAACCACTGACCCTTGCCAGGCACCAGGCTGCACTCCTCACACGGTATCCAAGCCATTCTGAAATTGGAATTGTTAACCAGACTATTACACATTTGATGAAAACCACTAATATAAGAAAGAAAGAAAAATGAACAAAACAAACAAAAGGGATTTAGAGAATTTAGCCTACACAATGTTGGCTGCAAAAGAAAACAAACAAACAACAACAAGAAAGCCCTGTAATATTATCAGAAAGAACAGATATATTGCAACCATAAACAAAGCCCCTTCCCCACATCCCCCACCAAAAAGCAACAGTGAGATAGCAAGGAGGACCCTTTAATAATTAAAAATTGCAAAAGTAAAATTTTTCCATTGAATGATCAGAATATAATGTTGAAAAATTCTTTTAGAGGGCAGAATAAGACACAATTAGAAAATGGAAGAAAGGGAAAAAAATAGAGTTATTTAGGAGAGTCACCATCTGACTAATAGGAGTTCTAGAAACAGAGAACAACAAAAAATACATAAGTAAATAAATAATCAAAAAAATCTCCCAGAACTGGGCTGGGGCAGTAGCTCAGTGGTAGAGAGCCTGCCTCACACGTGTGAAGTACTGGGTTCAATCCTTAGTACCACATAAAAAATAAATAAATAAATAAAGATGTTGGGTCCATCTACAACTTAAAAAAAAAAAAATTCCTAGGACTAAAAACATAAGAAGATATCCTAGAATTTTCTCTCGGGGGAAAAAAATAAATAAAACATGACAAAAGATCAAGAACCAAAATGGGATCTGACCTTCAATAGCAACTTTGAATCAGAAAAGCAAAGGAGCAAAGAAAAGACTATTCCCAAGTTTTATTTTATTTATTTCCAAGACTATTTCAGAGTTTTATACCTATTCCCACCATCAATTCAGAGTAAAGGAGAATAAAGTCAGGCTCACGAGCACAAAATCCCCAAAGGTCTCCTCCCCACACCCTTTCTAGGAAGACCGTTCCCAACCGAAACTCATGAGTAAGCCAAGGAGGAAAACATGAGTTTCAGAAAAGAAGGGAAGGGAATTCCCTAGAAGGTAGTCATGTAGCCATTGTTGAAGAAGAAGAAGGAGGAGGAGGAAGGAGAGGAGGAGGAGGAGGAGGAGGGGGAGGAAGGGGAAAGAGGAGGAGGGGGAAGAGGAGGAGGGGAGGAGAAAGAAGAGGAGGGGGAGGAGGGGGAGGGAGAAGAGGAGGAGGAAGAATGAGAGGAAGGAAAAGAAGAGAGGAAGAGAAAGAGGAAGAGGAGGAAGAAGAAGAGGAGGAGAAGGAAGAGAAGGAGGAACCAGTTCAAGATGGAACTGGAAGGCAGTAGGAGCAGTGGGCTCCAGGAGAACTCTCCAAAAAGACAGTGTCTCCAAAAACACAGTGACACTGAGAGGAGACTAAATGTGCTTGGATATTTTGATGAAGCATTCAGTGAAATCCATGGAAAACAAAGGGAATAAAAAATGTGATGTGATTATTAACTCCAGGAAAAACTGAAAGTTGTACAGGGAACAAAATAGAATTGGAATATGCTTCTTGGGTAAGTTGTGAATATTATTCACCATACATTTTACTTTTGTACTAATAGTGTGAACATGAAGCATTAACTAAAAATTTCAACCGAACTATTGGGAAGAAGTCAGGGTGAAAGATGAGTGTGTCGGGTGGGGGCACCAAAAAGAGAAGAAGAAATAGCAGTAAGAACACAGGATTTTAAAGTGTGGAGTTGTATTATGGTAGAAATAGCTAGATTATTATCTCTAGGGAAAGAATTAAGGATGGGTAAAGAAAACTACTCTTTTTCCCATTAAGCCCACCAGTACTGTTTGGCTTTTTAAGATGCTTTGGCTATTATTTTCATAAAAATAAATAAATTTAAAATAAAATGTGGGATAATTTATTTGTAACATTACTATTTCATTTATTAAGAACTTCTGCTTTCTTTTGGGCTGTCTGCCTAATTTTGAGACCTCAAGCTTTTTGCTTATCTCAAAGTTCACAATGCCGTGTCTGCCCTGCACAAACAGTGAGGATAAATACCACAAGAACGCATTCACCTTTGTTACTCTTTTAAGCCATAAAAGGTCTGAAGAGTTCATACAAAGACCACCAAGTACCAGGACATGGGAAAGCCCTAAAATTTACCTTGTACAATCATTTGCTTGAAAAGGGGTCAATAGAGACCCATAAAGATGCTACTTAAAGCCAGCACAGTGGTGCACACCTGTAATCTATGCTACTGAAACCGTGAGACAAGAAGATGGCAAGTTTGAGGCCAGTGTTGGCAACTTAGAGAGACCCTGTCTCAAAATAAAAAGGTCTGGGGATGTAACTCAGCAGCATAGCAATTGCTTAGTATATGCCAGGCCCTGGATTCAACCCCCAATACTGAAAGAAAAAAAAAGAAAAAGAAAGAAAGAGAAAGAGAAGTACTGCTTAGAGATGTAGTTGGAAGAAGCTAGAATTGTTCAACTTGGAAAAGGGACACTGGAGGCATGACTTCATCATTATTTTCAAATACACAAGAGATGGTTTCCAGCTGCTCTGGATCTGCTGGTGAAAAGGTGAGGAAATGCATTCACAGCAGAGCATAAAGAATTGAGGTAGAGATGGGTGAATTTCTAACCCTAACAAGAATTGCCCAGGAGAGCTAAGGAAAAAAAAAATCTGTTCTTCATAATAAAGCCAGTTTCTATTTTCTGTAGGACTGGAAAGATTAACTCTATAGCCTCCCAGTCCCATCTTGCAGTGATTTTGCTGAAAGAGACATCAGAAAGGTTCAGGGTCTTTGTGGAAGTCACACTGTTCAGCTTCCCTCAGAAGCTGAGTGGGAGAGGCCAGTCATCCCTTGCAGCCCAGACTTTGTCCAGGAAACTTAGTCAAAATTAATTTTCCATTACATTTAAAGAGTGTTTAGTGCACTGGGCTGGATCTAACTAGAATTAAAACTTGTTTCTAGGACCCTGAAGTTGCTCGATTGGTTTTAGGCTCTATGTTGTCTGATGCAACTACAAGTTGAAAAATGGTACTTATATATCATGACCTGAAGGTGCTATAGGACTTGTGTGGGTGGGACCATTAAACCCTTTGCCCAGCAATGTGGACTAGTGTAGTGTTCTGAGGACCTGGCTCTGCTGTATGGGGCAGGAGACCTTCAGCATTCAGGCAGACATGGCTTTAAAAGGAGAAGGAAGCTGGACTTCATGGGAAACATCCTGGAGTCCCCTTACCCTCTAACACTGCCTGGGTCTTCCTTACTGCCTTCTCTCATAAACTTGGGGGAATGAAGCCCAGTCAGGAGGTTCCCAGCACATGTCACCCGTACCCCCAACCCCTAGAGACAGCTGAGTGATCTTGATGGGAGCCCTGGTCCAGCCTCCCCAGCCTCCTAAGGAACTCATCACTGAGTTACTAGTGTGCTCAACACTGCAATGTCAATCCTTGAAATACAGTAAAGTCCAGAGGTAAGTATTATTTTAAGCTTCATTCAGTATAATTAAATCAGATTTTGCTGTTGTAAAGGGAGCTGACATACAGCAGAGGAGGGATGACAGGATGCTGTTACCTGTGAATATAGAATAGAGTCTAAGGAGAGAAGGTGGTGGCCTCAAAGACACTACTCTTAGGCCCTTTTTTTTTTTTTTGTAGTGCTGTTTCTAGTTTTGAGGGAAGGTATTGAGTGACTCCTGGCACAGTGAGCTGGCTTGGGTTAAAAGGACCTTCTTTTTAAGTTCGTTCTCTCATCATGTGATAACCCAGCTGCTGGAACCTCTGTATCTTCTTCCAGCCAAGCTCTGCAGAGCCTAGAGTCATAACCAGGGTATGTTATGGACTAGGGGAATAGAGGCAGTGCAGTCTCCCCTCTATTTGAAATGGCTCATATCACTACAGTGAAATCTTCTCAAAAAGCTCACATCCAATCCCAGACTTCAATACCTGGAGGAACAGACCCTAAGAGTCCCATTCACAGAGGCCTGTGAATCATTCCGTTCCCTCCCAGATGGAAAGTAGGTGTCCTTCTCTTCTCCTCACCCCCATCCTAATCTCTTCAGCACCATAATAAGTTCTAAGGCACATAAATCTCAATAGAAAAGTAAACATTCTTCCTTTAAAAAAAAATGAGAAAAGGGGAAAAAATGTGTCAGATTTTCCTGGCCTGTGCTACTCTGGTAGTTTATCAGATCAGAATGAATTCCTCTCTGTGACAGCTTCCCTGGTCTTTCCATCTCCAACAAGGCTGGGTTGAAACACGGCACCCCTTTGTGGACAACTGGGTTACAGTTCTGCGCCCAGTATTACTGTCATGTTCTCTTTTTCTTCCTGGATGATTTAAGTAACAGAGAAATGCAGTGGTTGCCAACTCTTGAAACATTTCTGGCTGCAGTTCTTTCCTCTCTCAAAACCCAGGCTGTTGTCAAAACCTTAATTCATAGTGACTTATTAGCAACCCAGGCAAGTTGTAGAATAATCTATTCTGAAGAAAGCAAGCTTCACTTGCAATCCATGGCGTTGCTTCTCAGAAAGGGCCTCGTTTTCTAGAGCTGGTGTCCATGGGAATTCAAAAGGTCTCCCCCAAGGTCGCCTCAGCCCTCCTTTGTTTTATCCCGTCAGGTTCAGGGCAGAGGAAAAACTGTGCCCATTCTGTTCTTTTTTACTCTTTTTCTCTGCCTGTGAAACTGACTTGGACACATTCTTGGGAGCTGTGTCAGGACAAGTCCTGTAAATGATTCACACTAAAGTGACCTTTAAAGAGTAGGGAGGAAATCAGCTGGATTTCAGGAGCCCAGAGCTGTGCAGAAGCCAAGCACCAGGGAGCTCTGTGTCCCTTCCCTTTAAACTTGAACTCACCGTTAACCTCACTGGCCCTGGTCCTGGTCATGTGATTGGGTCATGATTTTAATCATCAAGCTGATGCTGGCCACATTTACAAATGCGCCTGTGTAATTTAAACCTTGAAGATTGTGATAGAATCAAACTTCCGAAAATGAGATGAACGGGCTACTTGAAGGGTTGGTGGAAAGAGTAGGAGCCGCTGTAAAGAGGGAAAGTCGTTCATTTTAACTCATCACCATTTTCAAAATAGTTTTTTATTTTCTGTTCTGTGTTTGTTTGTTGCATTGAATGCCACTGAAAGGAATCACATTAGTCCAGAATATAATGAATGTCACCTTAGCAACCAAGGAGTATAAAAATTTTGCTGAATGCTTATTGCATCATTGCTTTGAAAGTTGTTAGTGCCATTGATGATTTGAACAGAGAAGGGTTTTTTGGTTCCTTTTTAACAATGGTTTTAAAAATAATCTTTTGTTTTTTCCTATTCCCAGAAATAAAAATGACCCTCCTGACCATCCAATCCTTTCGTCTCTCTCCATTCTTTTCTGGTACCATCAGGGAACAGTGGTGAAAGGGTCTTTTTTAATTACTGTGATGAGGATTCCAAGAATCATTCTCATGTGCATTTATGACACCCTGAAAACGAAGGTAAGGCTGCACCTAATAGAGAAGAGCTGAGGGCTGGGCAGCTGCAGAGGGTCCCAAGAGAGGACCCCTGACAGTGGCCTTTCAGACTCCCCCCTACCCTCACCCAGACCTTGTTCCCAGCCTCTGCCGTGCTGTGCCATGTGGTCTTGTGTGTTGGGTGGAGGGTGGGCAGGGAGAAGTTCTGGTTAGCTGGCTTTCCTTCTTATTTAAATGCTGAAATAAAAGGACTGAATTCTGAAGGTGAAATTTAAGCAAGGTTTTGTGGCTATTTATCATGCTTTTTTTTTTTTTAAGTAAGAAAATACTTTCTAAGATAGGGATAATATTTCTTTCAATTTTGTTTGTTTGTTTGCACCAGGATTGAACCCAGGGGTGCTTAACCACTAAGTCACATCCCCAGCCTTTGTTTATATTTTGTTTAGAGACAGGATCTTGCTGAGTTGCTTAGGGCTTCCTAAATTGCTGAGGCTGGGTTTGAACCCTCGATCCTTCTGCCTCAGCCTCCTGGTCTTTCAGTTTTAATGCTCAAATATTCCTCGCCTGTTTTGTTTCCAAGAGGGTGTCCTAGGAACTTCCTGGTATGCATGGGGAAGAAATGAGCAGGGACAAGGGAGTTAGAATGAGTGTGTGTGAGAGACAGGGTGTGTGTATGCAACTGTGTGCAAGTGTGTGTGAGTGTGTAGGTATGTGTGTGAGAGTATATGTATGAACACACACACACACACACACACACACACACTTGAAAGTGAGAAATGGGCAAGCTGACCTACATCTCAGCTCAAAGGACAGAAAACTGTAGGGCTTTTGTGCTGGGGTCTCCTCCCTGGTTTTTATTTCCATGCACATTTGGGTATGAATGCCAGTGGAAACCAGAACACCAGGAAAACAGCTGTTCTCATGGTATTTCTGTCCTGCCAAACAAGGGAAGATTGGACTTCCCCCAACTTTTTGGTTCTCACACAATGCTAATCTCTCCCCACCCCCACCTCAGGGTTCCTGATTTGGCCAGAGTCTCACAAACCTGCCTGATCCCAACCCTTTGTGTATAGTTATGTGTCCTTAGTATATTGGAGTAGTTTTACACATGGGGTCATATTAAACTTTAGAATTATTTTTGTTTTGGTCTTTTAAACAGAAATCTGAGTTGTTGATACTTTTAAATCCATAATCAAGATTTAAGGTTAGTATATCACTTAGGAGCAATGGATTCAATTTCACATAAAATTGTCTGGCTTCCTTAATCTTGAGATGCATGCTAAGCAGCTGCCCACTGATTATATTTTCTTCTATTTCCATGAAAATCTTGCCTGGTGACTTAAAGAGCCATTTCCACATCCAGGACAAATCTATTCTGGCTCCTGCATTTTGAAATTGTTCCTTCAATCTTAGGAAACTTGGCTAAGGATTTCTTGAGGGACAGAACAGCTTTTTATTTTAACTATATTGTATTTCTATGTATATTTACATAGAAATATGTATTTATATCTTTTATGAATACATATATTTACTTTTATATACATTAGTAATAGGTAATCAAACAAGACATCCTAAACTCTCTGGGGAAGCCACTTTCCATAAATCTAAAAGAGAAATCAGTAGAAGACCCATGGTCTGTCTCACCAAGGTCTGAAAAGTTTTTATCACTCCTCAGATCCCATAGGACCAAGAGGTCAAACTCCTTTTTAATGAAGTCGCTGTTGGAGAAAGATGTCCTTTCTCAGGTTAAAAAAAGAAAAAAGTGAAAAAGCAGTAGTAGTCTTACAGCCCAGTACAGTCTACAGTTCAAACATTTCACACAGCTACCGGTGATCTTTTCTACTTAAAGAGCCTCATTCACAACGGCTGCCAGGCCCAAAAGTATCCAGATCAAGTTTCATCCAATTGAATTAACACTGGGACAAGAAAATGTCCATATAAGGCTGAGTTATTCCTGGGGTCTTCATAGTAGGCTATTTCAGGATTGTGAGCAGGGATTGTTTTACTCTGGGCTGTGGGTTGGTCACCCCTCCCCCAGGCAGCTCATTCAATTATTCACTCTTGAGTTATGCACAAATTCAAGTTGTATTTCGAAAGACTGATTTATACATTGAAATTTAGTCCCCAAAATCTCAGGATAGGATTCATTTTCTCTAAGGTTAAGCTTGATTCTTTCTTTACGTGGGCCCACAACTAGTATCTGCAAATGTACTGTTTGCTTGCTTGCTTGCATTTCTTTTCTTTTTATTTATCTATTTATTTCTTTTTCTGTCTCTGGGATGTGAAATTTTCAAGAACATAAACTTTGGGTTCAAAAGGCAAAATGCACCATTTGAGACACTTAGGGGCAGATGGAGAGGGAGGAGAGAATTTTTTTACTGGAACCAAAAGGCTCCCTTTTCCCTTGCTATTGAATATGGACTAACCATTTCCCTTTCTATTGAGGTTATAAGCCCAGGAGAGAATCTGAGTTCTTCCCGTTAATAGTAATCAGAAGTATGCACAAAACAGAATTTCTCCCATCTTCAGTGAGGACTGCTCTGGCTTTTCCCTGGGTACAGAAGTCCATAGGGGAAGCAAGCATACCTCTCCAAAGCTGCCTGCTTACCTTCTATCTTTTGTTTTCCATTTCTCCTGTGGTCTGGACTGATCCCAGCAGCACGGCAAATGGTCAAGGGGCACATTCAGATGCTGCTACTGCTGTTTCTTGTGTCTTGACAGATACCTGCGCCATGTCAACCAGGTATGTGCCCTACCCTGTACCCCAGGAAAACACAGCAGGCTTGGAAGTTAGTCTCCATCATTTAGGTCAGGGATTGGCAAATTGTTCCATAAAAGACCAGATTGTGGGCGGAGTGTGGTGGTGCATGCCTGTAATCCCAATGGCTTCAGAGGCTGAGACAGGAGAATTGCAAGTTCAAAGCCAGTCTCAGCAACAGTGAGGAGCTAAGCAACTAAGTGAGACCCTGTCTCTAATAAAAATACAAAATTGGGCTGGGGATGTGGCTCAGTGGTTGAGTGTCCCTGAGTTCAATCCCCCAGTAACAAAAAGAAAAAGACCAGATTGTGTAAATATTGTAGACTTTGGGGCCATATAGTCTCTGTGGAAACCACTTAACTCTGCCAGTGCAGCAGGAGAAGCCATTGACAAAAGTTGAATGAACGAGTATGGCTGTGTTCCAAAGAAACTTTTTGGTGGATGCTGAAATTTGAATTTCATGGGACTTTCACATGTCAAGAGAGCTTCTTCTTTTTATCTATTTTTTCCCAACCATTTTAAAATTGTAGGAATCTTTGTTAGCTCCAGCCAGAGGAAAGCAGGTTGTATGATAGACTGGCCACCGAGTTGTAGTTTGCAGACCCCTGCCATGGAACTTTAGGCATAAAAGGCATTCTTCAAATTCTAAAAGAAATGTGTTTCTCTTTTCCAAAATAAAAAGGAAAGGAAGTCTTTAGAACCCCAGCCTAGTGAATACATTATCAACTAAGAGCTAAAGTTCAGGGTCTTCTTTAAGAATTATAATTTTCCTGAGCTAGGAAAAGAACTGCCTCCCTAATTTTTATATATTTTGCCAGGCTTTCCCTTTCAAGCTATAAATATTCCTTTAAATCATAAAAATGATATCCTGCAATTGTTTGAACTTTAAATTATTTTCTCTTCTAAATCTTCCAAATTGGTGGAAATTTAAATATATGTTTTGTTTTCCTGTAGATCGTTTGGCAAAGTTTAATGGTCCTTGTCAAATTTACACAAAGCGGTATTTTTGTAAGAGAGCAGGCTGCTTTAAAATTTAAGTGTTCATGCAAATCTCACTTTGAGATTATAATAATAGTACTTCTTATTATTACCTATCTTCCTAATAAGTGTACCCTCAGAAGTAAAGGGGCTAATTAGACCATCCATGTTTATGTCTTAAGTAGTGTTTAAAATATCTTTCATTATTCAGGGAAAGTGTAGACTTCAGTACTATAATAGAACTTACAAGGAAGCTCTATTCTTAAGGCTTTTCTTAAGAATCTTGGAGTACCCTTTACAGTGTGTTTAGTTTTCATTTGCATTGCCACAAGCCCAGCACATATAAAGCACAATAAAATCCCATATCACCTTTGAAAATAGTGGATCCAGAAGCAAGTCAAGCCAAACCTCGGGAATACACTTGTCATGGGGTAAGATGCCACGCCTCTCTTCCCAGAGCTGTGTGTGTGGATCTGGACACCAACTTACTCCATGAAGATTTTTGAGATGCATTACAAAAATATGTGAACAATGGCAAGAATTTTTTTGCACAAAAAGTCAAGACTAAGAAACATATAGGGAGACTAGAAAGACAAAAACTATGACTATAAACCCAAATATGTTGGCCATAGGGTCCTCCTGGGCTCCAAGCTAGAGTTGCCATCCCTCTTCACCGCTTTATGAAATTCAGGTTCTTTCTGCATCCCTCATTCACTCCTGGTTTCCAGCCTGCTCCACAAAAGCCTAAAGGTAGATGTTGCTGACATGGAGAGGTCAAGAGGGCAGAGAAGCAGGTGAGGAGGAAGAAAGGTGGCCTAGCTCCATGCCACCCACCCTGCCTGGACTTTCAGCCAGAGAGCTCCACTCATGTGGGTGAGGTGGGGCGTCTCCTGAAGCTTCCATTTGAAGATAGGATTCTGCCACTAAACATATTTGAAAATAACTATCCCATACCAGCATTACACTTGTTCCCTCTTCCCTGTTATCCTGAAGGACATGTTTTCTGCCTTCTGAAATTTCACCTCTTTATATGAATTCAGGACCTTTTCCCTTGGGGGTTCAGGGTGTTTATATTAAATCGTGTTAATATTAACTCCACTCTAATTACCATGGTAGAGGGGGTGAAACCTTGTAACAGACATAGGGTGAGAGTGATCTCGAATCACAGAAAAGCTAAGCTAGTCTTGACCCGGCTCTTATAGTGAATCAGTGGTGCAAGCAGGGATAGGTCTTTGGGATTCCAATCACGGTGGCTGAACACCAGGCTGTGACCTACACCAGCTGTCGCCGTATCCTTACATGGGGGTGATGTGGTACAACTGACATGAACACTTCAAGGACTCCTGAGGTTTAGGAGATTGAGGAAGAAGAAGAAGAAGAATGAAAAAGACAAAAGAACTGATGAGAATGTTGGCGGGGGTGGGGGTGAGGGTCACCTCTGATCTAAAATGACCACGAGAAAGCAGAATGAAGTAAAAATGTTTAAGGAGAAATATGGTAATAATGAAATGGTGACCAGAGCTATCGTAGGTCTCATCTGGAAACAAACAAAGCAAAGTGAGCTGAGAGAGAAAAAAGGAATTCAGATTAGGCTTTTAAGAAATGTCCCGGTGTTGGAATGAGTGGCTAGGGGAGGCTTTAGCATCTGTGTCTGGAAGTCAGATTTTGAAGGGCCGAGGGCCTACTTTATTTTCTTTGTTTTATGGAAGGGAAGCTGGGAAAATCTACAAAGGGGTGAGATGCATTTGTCACCCTTGGCACCTAGATGTTCTTCTCTCTTTAACATCAAGGAGCTGGCTGTGTCTCGCCAACGCTTTTGAAAAGCCTCATCCATCTTCACTGTGCCCTGTGAGGGGAACAGGTGACAGTTGTCACATTTTGTGGACACCCAGCCTAAGACGGCACAGTAATTCACTTGCAGAGTGCAGAATAAAACCTCAAACCTCATCATTTCTAATCTACTTCTCTCTGCATTATAAATACCAAACATGGGTATAAATTTTTTAAATTGTGTCACCTCATGTGTTCATTTCTATAACAACCATTTGCTTATTTACACTGGATGCGACCAACTGAACCTGGCATTGTAAGTGGGGGCGATGAGGATTCAGAGTCAGCATCAAGCATAAGCTAGGCCTTCGTGTAGTTGATAGGCTATTTGGGGGCATAGATGGCGGAGAGAGGGGTACAGTAAGGGGTATATGCATGAGACACTTATGTAAGTGGTACAAAAAAATGCAGGTTAAGTGCTGGAATGAGGGCTGCAGAAGTTTAGAAAAGGAGAATCTTGGTAGTTGAAGGTCTTTTAATGCAATAATTAGGGTAATTCATAGAAGAGATCGGACCCCAGTGTGGAGCACTCACCGGAGATCAGCAGCTCATAAATCCCAATGGTAGCTGTGAGAAGTTGGCACTTGCTATACTGCCAGTTGTAGCCTAAGCACTTTTCCTACATTATATGGATAGCATCTCCGGTTCACAGATAAGGAAACTGAGGCTTAGAGAAAGCACACGGTGACAGAACTAGAAGTTGAATCCAAGCCTGTTTTGCCTCCAGGACCAAACTTTTAACCACAAAGTGTTTTTTCACCAACCAGAGGACTCCAGACCACCATCCAGGGCTGTTCTCTGCAGCCAGCACCTTTCCAAGCTAGGACCAGACAAGCTAGTTTGCTGACAGAGCGAGTCTTGTTAGTGGCTGGCTGGTGGAGGACCGGAAAGGCGTAGGGCTGTCAAGGGCAGTGAACTCTGAATCATGCAATTGTAGAGGAGGAAAGCCATATCAGGTGGGGTGACCCCACCTTCACTCCTCAGGAAAGCCAGTGGTCCAAGCCTCTGGCAGTGTGGGCTAACTCATTTCAGAGATTTACAGACAAGGAGCCCCTGTGTAGCCTCTCTGCTCCCTCCCAGCACTTTGGTGGGTCCTGTCTGAGAAGTCCCCTGTGGGACTGTGCAGGCTAACCACTCAACAAGAAGAGCACACCTCTTAGTGTTTCGTAAAGTGCCCACCTGCAGTCCCTTGTGGAAGTTCCTCCCCAAGTACACACAGGCATCTGTCCCAGCTCTGATGTGCATCAGTGTTCCTCCAAGTGTGAAACCCGCTGGTGGGCACGGCACTCTTCCCAATGGTTCCAAACTGATTTGAGCACTTCAGGAAAGCTCTTTCTCAATTTTTATAGGCAAATAGCAGAATTCTGTAGATTTTCATGTTTTGCTATTTACCAATAAGTAAACTAAAGAGTGTTTTTTTAAACTTATTAAAATAAGTTTGATAAACTTATTTGATAAACCCAAATCGGTATTTCATGAGAACTCATATTCATTATTCTGTTAAGATATAACATTGCTGCCAAGGCGAGGCCTCCCTGCGAAGTTTGTGAACGTGCACAGGCAGAGAATTGGGATTTTGCACATTGCGGGTAGAACACCTTGCTACAACCAGTGTTGCCTTGAGTTGGCTGTGCTGTTCTATTGCAGTCATTCCTGGTGTAATGAACATTACACTTCTATTGATTACTTGGTTCTTATTTATTCATTGTATTTTTGTCACCTTAAGCATTGCTTTCCTTTTTGATCCTTTTTCCTTCTTCCAGCAGAAGTGGGAATAGGTAGAAAGTGAACTGTGGGTTGATGTCAAAAATATTTGAGATATCCAGGTGTAGTGGCCCATGCCTATAATCTCAGCCGCTCAGGAGGTTGAGGCAGGAGGATCCCAAGTTCTAGGCCAGCCTCAGCAATTAGAGAGGCCCTTAGCAAGTTAGTAAGACCCTCTCTCAAAATAAAAAATAAAAAGGACTGGGGATGGATGTGAAACCCTGGGTTCAATCCCCAGTTAAAAAAAAAAAAAAGTTTAAGAACCACCATTTCTGTCCAGTCTCCTGGGAGATGCTCCCAGAGGAAGATGACCCCTTAGTCAAGTGTAGCAGCAGTTTGCCTCTCTGCCTCTTCCTTTGTGTAACTTGGGTGAGTCACTCAACTTTACTGAGCTCCTGAAAATTTAAAGGGTA